CTATTTTCATAGACTAGATGGCCACAAATAGAATTATTCTTAAAAGAATAAAAAATTATATTCACTTTATTAAACTGGTGTCTAACCATTTCTAAGCATTAATCTCTTTTCCGGGTGGCAGTATCAGCACTGAGGGTAGGGGCTACTTTTTTATATCCTTCTTTACAGCCTTAATGCTTGCAAGGTATTTTGCTCAGAGAAAAACTAAAGACAATTATTAATTAATTATTGCTAATGGATCCCATGATGTCTTCAATCTCATCTTTTCTTTATCACTAAGATAAAGAAAGAATCAAGTTTCTCCAAAGGGATTGGTCATGAAGCCTTTTGAGGTTTTTACAAGCATCAACACGGTGGCTGAGATATCAGTACAGCTTCTCTCTTTTGCTTAACTGTTGTTTTTTTCCCCCCATTTACATGTGCAGTCCCTGCTGGCTGATTATAATTCGACGGTGGTGGTAGGGGTTGGTCGTATTGGTTTTGTGGTTGCTGTTGGCTTTGTTGTGGTTTTGATACACCCTCAGCCTATAGCTCCTTATTAAAGTCTGTGTCAATTTTACACAAATACATCCTGGGAGCTACTTGGGAAGGTGATATGTAAAATAAAAAGCATTGAAAATCAGCACCTCCGTGGTTGTAATCTGTGTGTGCCATGGCAACGCAGTAAGGATGATTTCCTTTTTCCTGCAGAGAGAGTTTTGCCTTGGTAGCTGTCTATGTTAAGAAGCATCTCACAACCATCTAAAGAATATTGCTGCATTTTGTCTCTCTATTCTGTCCTGATTGTCTTGGCTGAATTTATAATGGCAAAGAAATAACTTTTCTTAAATCAACTGATCCATCAACCAATCAACCAGTCTCTGTGTGGTTCTGTGTGGCAAGCAGTACAGCCCCTCTAGCTAGTAAGCAGCAGGATCTGGATATGGGGATTTTGGGATGTACACAGACTGTTTCTGAGGGTGGTGAAATCTGCAGTGAAGGCAGAACATCTAGGGTTGACACTGGAATCGCCTTGCTGGACTTGCTGGCTGCTACGATCCCAGCACCCCTGGGCCTGAGTCACTGTGGCCAGGGCATTTTCAGCAGGGCCTCTTTGGCTGCTGCTTCAGAGAGCTCCACATCCCTCTGCTGGGCTGCCCTAATTTCCAGGACTGGGTTCTCCATGGCTCCTGCCAACACCCCCTCCCTGCCCCATGCCACTGTTCTCTTAGAAAACAAAGTCTGGCAATAATGAATCTGAGTGGCTTGACCCAGGCCTGCATCCTAGTTTAAAAGATGCTAAGAAGTTGAGTTCTGACTTCTATTAATAGCATGGAGAGGTAAAACTCATGACCTGGCAATTTCTGCAAACACAGAGAAAAGTATTCATAACATATTTGGTAGTCACATAAGATGCCACTTCACTGCAAAGCAGGCCCCCTCAGGGGAAGTCTCAGTGTGAAGTGGCCACTGGCTCAATGCTACATGCATACTGGGTTCTGACTAAATCTTTATGGGATGGATCACACTAGGAAATTTATATTTTAATTCTGTAACTGCTACTTACAATAACTGCTGACTCCTTTCTCAACCTCAAAGTTGCTATTAGCATTTACCCTTGAAATAAACAGGTTAGTTTATTTTATAAAGGTCTAAAAACATCGTATACATTGGAAGACTTTAAAAATGTTGTACATTTTGCCAGGTAAAACTTAAAACAAAAATTCAAACTAACATAAGATGATTATATTTTGGCTCCAAGACAGATTGGTTTCCTTGATTTTGTGTCATCTTGCTTTGCAGAGTGTAGAGGGTTCTTAAGGAGTTGCAGAGAAAGAGCATGTCGGATTCTGGAGTCACAGTGACATCTGGTGGAAGAAGGAAGGCTGCTCAGGCAACAAGTCCACATAAAACAAAATGAATGGAATACTTTATGGTCCCATGTACATTATAACTGAATGAATTCATCAACAGCTATGTTGTATTATATATTACTGTATTACTCCCTAAATGCACACTCATTCATTCATGCATTTATTTATTCATTAGTTAATATTAGTTGAACACCCACTTCCCTATTGGTTCCATGATTACAGAAATGAAGAACACAGGCATGGTCTTTTTCCCTTGGTGCTATCAGTTTAATAGGAATACAGGGTTCAAAAATAAATGTGCTAGGGGGTACTACAAAGCTGTCCTTTATAGGGGGTGGAATGGTACTGTTTTTTTCCTGGTGGCAGGTGTGTTTAACGAAAACTTCTGTCTTTGTGCCGCTACAACAGAATTCCTGAGTCTGGGTAATTTATAAACAACAGAAATTTATTTTTGACAGTTCTGGAGGCCGGGAAGGCCAAGATCAAGGCTAACCAAACAGGCCAGACCAAGTCAGCACCAGAAGCCACCATCAGGCAGGAACACAGGGCCAGTGTCACTAAGTCTCTGATTTTACAAGCTCAAGCAAAACTAAAAATACGATGTCGTGGAGTGAAGTCGTCACACTATTTTCAAATATTGGTTCAATTAAATAAAAACACTGTATGGGCCAAATAAAACATATCTTGGATCCAGTCAGTGGGGGGATCCAAGTTTTTGACCTAATGGAGAGGAACATCTGTTCCAGCGGCCACTGGTGATTTTCCTCCCCGACCTGCAGCCTCCAAATGCTCCCACTTGTACCCCAGACTTCTCCCTTTTGCTGGCCTAAAGAGATAGGGACAGTCCCTAGTTGGATAAAGAACCAGAAACAAAGGTTGGAAACGTTCCATATTGGGAAGTGAAAAGATGCTGAGCAGAAGACTTGAAAGTGCCCGTGCTGTCTTCACCTGCAGAACGGGTCTCCCTGCCAGGAGAGAGGGTAGCTCGAAGGAGACGAGCAGTGGGGAGAGGCGGAGACAGGAACGGTGAGAGACAGAGCCAGGAGAACCTCTGGGCAGGGGAAGCCAGGTGTATAGAGGGAGCCAAATCAGTGCCCATCGTCCCCTGTCCAGATTTGATGACACTGCCTTGTGCCCTGAGACTCTGCCAGTCCCTTTTTTCTCTGCCTTTGCATGCCCTTCTGTGAAAACCTAATGCTTGGGGGAGCACCAGCCATCACCTTGTGGTGAGGCAGGGACAGCTAAAGATGACAGGGGGCGGCTGAGAGCCACAGCTTCTTTGAGCTGCGGACCCAATCACAGCCCCACCCCCACCTCCATAGCACCCATCAGAGGAGACAATGCCCCTTGTCATGCAGGCCACTCTCAGCCCTTCTGTCCCTGGAGCCAAGCATTTTCTGTGCAATTTCTTGGCTCCGTGACACTGAGGAGGCATCGTGCTAAGTGGGCCCTGGCTGAGGCAGGCTTCTTCATGCTTCTAGGTGGCACATATATTAGCATTGGGACCAAACTAATTTCAGATGCCTAAAACAATCTATTTCAATCACCTTTTGGTATGCCATAGTCTGAATTTCAGAGCTGACTTTCCGGCCTCTGTGTCAGACTCCGCCCTGGAAGCATGGGGCAGTTACCTCCCCACAGGGCTGGCCTGTGAATGGGAGGTGGGGGCCAGCAGGTAACATCTTCCTCCACTTCCCCCAGTGGACTCTCCTGTGTCATGGTAACACAGCCTCTTAGAGGACAGTAGAGCAACCGGTTGTGCTTGATCCAGAGCTGAGGTCAGCCTGGTGATGCCTCCTTGTGCTGGCTCTTCTGCCCCCTCTGACCTGCCTCATTCCCCTTTTCCTCGCTCTTGCAGTAGCTCAGCCTTTATCTTAAACTTTACTTTAAAAAATCCAGGCTATGACAGTTCTAACCATTGTCATTGTTCTCCTCCAGGACACCTTCCAGTTTCTGCATGTCTGAAATGGATGCTGCAGACTCAAGAGGCAGTACCCCTGCAGATGGGCGCAAATAGCCACAGTGGTAGTTAGTAGTAACACTGAGCAGCAAGGAGCCACAGTGGTAGTTGGCAGTAATACTGAGAAGCAAAGAGCCACAGTGGTGGTTAGTAGTAATACTGAGCTGGAGAAGTTCTTTAAGAGGAGTTTTGAAAGATCATACCTTGGGCAGAGGAATTTCAGGGGCAACGGGGCTGAATTCAGAAAGTAATGATGGGTAACGTTATTTGTGTGCATTATCTCTTCTCCTCTTCGCAACAATCCTGTTAGGGAGGTTTTATTATTTTTCTCATCAAAATAATAGCCTACTGGCCAGCTCCCTTCTGTGCCAGCTCAGCACTGCATTTGTTTCCTTTGTGCACTCGGTACCATTTGTAATGAATTTGCCCTTTTATGTCTACCTCCTCTCCACTGTTTGTTTCTGCAGTGCTTTTAAACGTAGCTCTGGAATGAATGAGGGCCACTAACAGAACAGCTCTTATGTACCAGACCCCATGCAAAGGTTTATAATTACCCCTAATAAAACCTCCTTCATTCAACAAATACATCTTAAGCACATGTAAGCTAGAGACAGGGAAAACACAATGGCGATGTGAGGGCATCCAGAGCCAGGAACTGACTGAGGGACCAGGAGATGCCCATGTGGGGCTACGTGTTTCAGCAGGAAGAGCACAGGGTGCTATGAGCCCCCCCTACTCCCACTTAACCAGAGAGGAAATCCGGGCTTTGAGAGAAGGCTTGTGTAGAGTGGTTCTCAAATTGTGGCCGGTGGACTCCTAGAGTCCCTGAGACTTTTTCAGGAGATCCACGGGGCTCCCTTTTCCAATCACATATTTGTATGAGGCTAGATTTTTTTCTTATATACAACTAAACAACGTATCTCAAGGGACTGAATATAGAAGTAGATACGAGCATCTAACACATTAAGCCAGACATTAAAGAGATTTGCAAAACTGTAAAACTATGCCATTCTACTCAGTGTTTTGTTTTTGTTTTTTTGTTTTTGTCTTGGAAAGTATACTTTTAATTTAAAATGTTATTTTTTTATTACTATGGACTAGGTTCTTAAAATGATTGTAAATGGATCAATAAATACATTTAAAAATTGTTTTAATTTCCAATGCAGTAAATATAACCCACAGAAACAGAAGTTCTTTGGGGTCTTTATTGATCTTTAAGAGTGTAAACGGGTCCTAAAGCAATAGAGGAAAAGAAAAAAAAAATTAAGACTCAGGAGGCATAAGTGTCAGGGTATACAGTAATTGTTCAATAATATTGTTGAATAAACGAATCTCAGTGCCTCCTCCTTAACACCACGTGAATTATCAAGGCACATAAACCTCACACCCTGTGTGCCGAGGACATTAGTTCCCGGCCCTTTTTTGGAAGGGCAGTTTCTCCAGAGTAGGTTTGGTGGCCGGAGGGACTTTTCCCTTCCTGCGAGCCGCGCGCCCCCTGCTGCCCGCGGCCGGAACCCGCGGCCATCGCCACACCCCCCTGTTTGTGTCGGCTCACGAGGAGTTGCCTGTCCCTTTAATTGGCACGTACCAAGTCCTTCCAGGTTACATCTCCTCCCTGAGTCTTAGCCGTTGGGAGTCGTCGGTCAGAGCTCCAACAGGTGGGACGGTGAAGACGGTGCTGTATTTTGTGGGAGAGTCCCGGGCCGACAGGGAGTGAGGGGTACGCGCGCCGCCGCGCCCTCCCGCCGCGCGCCGTAGTGCAGTCCCAAGATGGCGGCCACCATGAAGAAGGCGGTGAGTGGGGCGCCGCGGGGCGCGATGCTCGGGCGGCGGCCGGGCCCGGCCGCGGGGGGCCCGGCCGCGGGGGCCTGGGGGTGCGCGGCGCTGAAGCCCGGTGTGGAGCTGGAGGCCGAGACCCCCAGCCCTGAGAGCGGCCCGGCGGCGAGGCCTGCCCGCGCCTGGCGCCCTGAGCGTTTCCTTAGGCGGCCGGACAGCCGGGGCGGGCGCCGGGCCGGGACCCCCGGGGGGCTCTGGGCCGCCCCTCGCGGGGCTGAGAGAAAGGCCCCCGTGGAGCCCGAGCACCTCGCGGCCCAGGTCTTGCTCTTGGGGTGTGGGAAGTCGAAGGTCCCATTGGCCGCGGTTGGCGTTTTCGCGTGGCGCTGTACCTGGTGGCGCCCACGCAGCCCTGCGGGCAGGTGCTGCTGGTTCCGCCGTTTGCAGGTGGGGAGGCCGAGCCCGGAGGTGCCGTGCCCGGGGCACGCGGGGCCCTGCGTTGGGCGGTTATCAGGCCGTGGAGCTCCCGTGTCCAGCGCGGAGCCGCCCATGCCCGTTCTCGATGCCGCCGCGTCCTCCAGGCTAAAGCCAGTGTTTGTGGAGGACCGCCGGTGTGCCAGGGCCCAGCGGCAGCCGTCGTTCATCTGTTACCTGCCTTCCCAGCAGCTCAGCAAGTACACGGGTTTCCTCCCCCATTTCGCCAGTGGAGAAACTCAAGAGTGGTTAGTAGCCCCAAAGCGACTCAGCTAGTAAGAAGCAGAGCTGGAGTTCAAACTCAAGCTTTGTTTTCCCCAAAGCACACGTTTTTAACAACTAAGCAAGCTAAACTTCTGTTTGCAGTTCATAATCCCGTACGTCTCCCCAGATGCTTAAAGATATCTAGATGGAAGAAAAATAAAATGGGGATGGGAGCAAGGAAATAACAGCTGACAATTATTGGGGCTTTACTGTGTGCTAGGCACAGTTCTGAGTGCATTGCATGTATTATTTAATAATCCTTTTGGGGAAAGGACTGTTTCTAATTCTTATTTAACAGGTGAGGAAACTGAGACACAGAAGCTAAGCTAGCATTTAGACAAAGGCATTCTGACTCGAGTGTGTGTTTTTAACTGCTGAGGGGTTCTCTGATCAGAATCCGCTGGCTGAAGGTGTTTGCATTCCAGGTTTTGTGCCTGTTTTCTTTCATTCCACTTTTAACAACACATTAGAACTTAACTTCCTTTGCTCTCCTCTCCAGTACCACATAGTGTATGTCACTTGTATTTGGCGTAGGCTGGCGACCTGTCCCAATTTGCGTGAGATAGAGGGAATGCTAAAACTGGGAAGCCCCAGTCAACTCAGGATGAATTGCTCACCCTACTGGTCTGTCATCCACAAATTCTTATTGGGTACCAGAGTAGGGTCCAGGGCCGAGGTGATGCAGATGAGTATGAAACTTTGTGAGAGTCCCTTCACCTGTATTTTGTTAAATTGGGTCCTCTGTTGTTAGTATGGCCTTTAATTCCACGGAAGATAGGCGTTGTGGTTCACTCCCATTTTACAGATGTGGAAACTGAGGTGCAGAGAGGTGAAGTGAATGTGGAAAAAATGGTAGCATGGATTTGAACCCTGGACTTCGATTGCAAAATTTCTGATTACCAACCTTTTTTCCCCTTTCATTCATTCAGTAAATTTGTTTTGCACATATAATATGGCACAGTCTCAGTTTTAAGTGACAAAAACAATGGTGACCTGTAATGAAATTTTTGCCCCCTTATCCTCATAGAGTCATAGAACTTATGCTCTGGGAGCGAGGCAGGCATTAGTCAATAGTCACACAGAAAATTAAAGTTTCTGCCTCTGATGAGAGTTGATGAAGGAAAAGTGCTTGTGAAATGAGGGCCAGAATGAGGTCTATTTTGAGATTAGAGAAGGTGCCATTTATGTTGATCTGTGAGATTATGTAACGAAAGGAAAGGAAAGTTGGGTAGGGAGTGAGGCCTTCTTGCGAGGAAATATCTCGCGCTAAGACTCTGAGTGCATTTAATAAAAGGAAGGCCAGGTGGCAGATAATTAGGAGAGGAGAGGTTGAACCATGGTGGGAAAAGATCATACAGAGGGGTAGCAGTAGCCAAAACATAAAGGATCTTTTTCTTTAGCTTAGGAACCATTAAGACTCACATAGATGCAGTGTCCTCCCGTAGATGTTTCCAGTGTTATGAACAATTCCTGATAGGTTAGCTTACATGTATAATTTTCCCTTCTGTCCTCACTAGGAGAAAATATCACAGGCATGCCGCTGAGTGAGAGTGAAATAACAGAGGGTAGCCCTTTGAATTTAATAAAGGTAAATTGTTTACAATCTGGAGTACTTTACATTTGTAAAACATACCTTCCAACTGGTCATGCCTTTGCAGGGGTGGTTTAGATGAGATGATTTCAGTCCCCTCTTCTTTAAAGTTCTGCTTTCTAAGAAGTGGTTCTTGGCCATAAGGGGTCTGTCTGTTAATTGTTCCACAGAGAGGCCATCTTTGACCTCACTATCTAAGGAAACTTTCTTCACTCCCCAGTCTCCAAAACTTTCAGCCTCTAAACTATTTTATTTTTACCATCACATTTATCACCATCTAACATTATCTTGTGCATCTTGTTCTGTGCCCACTTTCTCCACCAGAAAACATAAGCCTGCCAGTGTTGGCGAAGGTGGGACTGTGGCTCTCTTTGTCAAAGTGCCTGGCACACAGGAAACACTAAGTAGTTGCTAAATGAATGACTGTGTGCACGAAAGGTGAATAAAAATACAAAGCTAAATTTTATATCATAGAGACTAGGTAGATACCTTTTAAAAAGAAAAATAAAAGCAGACTGAAATTGGCCAGAATTTTCTTCTGGGGACCCAGCTGTCAGTGCAGTTTCTGTGGGTAATACTCAAACTCAGTGTGGGGCGTGAGTGAATATGGTTCTTTTCCTTCTATAATCCCATAAGATTTTAATTCTCAAGAAAAGGGTATAGTCAGAGCCCAGGGAGTTTTAATTTTCACTTTAAATCTTGAGCAGTCACGTTTCTCTCAGGCCTTGCAGAATTTCCTTCTAGGTCTGTTCTCCCTTTGTAACGATTTTTGGTAAACGATATTCAGGAAATAAAGCATTTAGCTCACACTTATTGAAAGGTGACTCCATCCTCAGGCCTTATGCTAGGTACTCACATTTTCACCCAGGTAGGAACTAGCTTCTGCATCTTACTGATAACAAACCTGAGGCAGGTGCGGAGAATTGAGTGATTTGCCCAGGCTTCCTGATTGCTTGGCTTGGAATCCATTCTGACTCTTTGCACCTGTGCTACCTCAAATACTACAAAACAGCTCCTTCCTCATAGAATTCTTGTGACTTTGTGAGTGGTAGTAACTACATGTGGCTTCCCTTAAGGCAGGAGTTTCTGACCTTTTGGGGTTATGGATCCCTTTGAGAGAATCTGATGAAAGCTGCAAAGACCCTTCCAGATGAATGTGTATAGTCACCATTTTGCGTACATTCCCCCTGTAAATCAACCTCTCAATCAATGTCCATTGATCCCATTTAAGAATTACTCCTTCCCTGTCAAAATGCAGCTTCAAGAAATGTAGGAGTGTTGTAGAACAGTGAGATTTGAACAGAAGCCACTGCTGTTAGTCATCAAAAGTGCTGACGTCATACTCTGTTGTAAACAGCACTCCACTGGGCGGCATGCAGTTGTGCCAGTGCATATTTGACTCTCACCACCGGAAGGAATTGGACTCCAGGGGACAGGTGTGAGCTGGGGGCTGCTGTTTTGGTGGGGCTGCAACAGGAAATGCTTGCTTTGGAAAGATAGAAAGCACCAGCCAAATTCTCTCTGCCATTTTTCAGAAACTGTTTATTGGAGTCTGATCAGGCATGATTTAGATTCAATTTCAGAAACCTCAGGTATGAGTCAGGCCCTGTGCTAGGCCCTTTCACATCGTGAATCACTCTGCTAAACCCTCACAGTGACAAATGCATCTGTAAATACTACAGTAGTTAAATGAACTGGCGTAAGCTCTTCAGCTAAGGAGGAACTCTTCAGAATTCTCTGTCCTTTATTTGCTTAGGGAACTGATAGTTCTCATAGGCAAAGTGATTTGAATACCGAGATTATCTACATGTAGGCTTTCCTTTGGTTTCTTTAGTGTAGCTCATTGTTTCCTAACTTCCATATTCATAAAAATTATGCCCAGGGTGGAATACTCAAAGCTGTACGTAGCATCATGTAAAGGGTGTTTTCAAGCTATCCTCTGGGTCTTTGCGGGTGGGCGTGATGCCTGTGAAATTGTTCACTGGGATGAGAGCCTGACAGGGGAGGACTGTGGCCTAGGTTCTACCTTTGTATTCTGACTCTTGAGCTCTATATTGCTTGACACTGCAAGTTGCCCTTTAACCTCTGAGAAATGAAAGTCCAAATATCTTATGTCATTGGTCACAAGAGACCAGGTATAGGTTGGAGTGTGGATATTGTGAACCCATTACTGTTATTGCAAAAGAGCTAAAAATAGTCCTCCAATAAGGACTATTTATACACACACACCTTTCCTCCTTTAAACTTCAAGTGCTCTCGTTCCTAGTTTATGAATGAGGGGAAGCCCAAAAGAGAGTCTGGTTTTTTGTTTTGTTTTTTAAATATGTGGAACTCTTTTGAGAATCTGATGAACACTGACTTCCCGCTGCCTCTTCCAAATGTGCATAAGTCTGTGTGCACGTGCACGCACACACGTACATGAGCACACACATACATTCACAGACATACTTTTGCATTCAGTTTCCAAGAATTTATGGATCTCTGTGGACTCTGGAGCCAAACTGCCTGGGTTGAAATCAAGTTCCCCTGCTTACCAGCTGCGTGGCTTTGGGCAAATGTAAACTCTCTGTGCCACAGTTCTGAAGGCACGTCTTAAGTACTACTATCTATAAAATAGTAGTACTGGTGAGCCTACCTACTAAAATCAATTGGAGGATGAGTAGAGATGATAAAGCACTTACAAAGTTCTTGGCACATAGTAAGCTCTCAGTGTTAGCTATTATTTTTTATTATTTCATAGCTACTTTATGTCATCTAAGCAATCCTAACATTATTTGCAGTTTTGTAAATTTAGTCACATAAAATAGTTTTTAATGTTAAACATTGAATTTTCATCATTTTGTAGCAAATTAGACCTTCTCAAGTCATATAAACAGGGTTTATATTAAAATAAACACAGCTTTTACCATAAATGGAATATAGCCACGGAAATGCATAGTGACCATCTAGTCAATATGTCTGTTGAGTTAAAAACTATAGAAACTGTCAGATTTCAGTTGCCACAATAAGCTCATGTAACTTTTGACTCTAAGAAAAAAAACTGATACGAGGAATTTACCAACATTATTTGACCACATAACTTTTTGTTTCCTGGGTTATCTTGATGAAAGAATGTTATTAACTTGAGAAATTCTGGTCTAGGCCAAAAGTTAGGTAACTTTTTTCTATCTTTTTTTAGAATTTATTAGTTGTTGATATTTGAAATGTTTTTGTAGCTTAGGAGTTATTCTGTAGAATATCAGAAAAGGTTATAGACTTATGAACAGATCTTAAGCTGGTGGAGCAAAAAATAAGGCATTTGTTTATGTTATATACCTTTTGTGATTCTTGAGTATATAAAGGCAAGTAGATTATTATTTTAGAGCAATATAAAAAGCTAAGCTATAAGTTCTTGATTAAAATTCTATAAAAAATTAAAAACTTTTTCAGGCTGCAGAAGATGTCAATGTTACTTTTGAAGATCAACAAAAGATAAACAAATTTGCACGGAATACGAGTAGAATCACAGAGCTGAAGGAAGAAATAGAAGTAAAAAAGGTATTGACAATATCTTATCTAAGAAAAAAAAGTTCTTTATACCATAGCTACTTAAAACTGAATTCAGTTAACAAGTGATTATATCTCTCTGGACTCTAAGCTGCAGATAACACGATCCACTCTAGTTAAAGTAGAAAGTCATTTCTTAAAGGCTGTGAGATAAAGTACAGAATTATCGAGGGGTTTGAGTCTAGAATGAGGTTCCAGGAACAAGTCCCAGAACCTCATGTCCCAGAGAACTTGGGTGACAATGGAACTGCTTGCTGTTGCCCCCCCAGTGAGGAAGCTGCCCCCGCAGTCCTAGGGACACTGAGCTGCTGATGCCACCACTGCCATCTACCGCTACAAACCTGAGGCCTTGTCCCCAGCCTCTCTCCTCACGCAGCTCCCCTGAGTTGAAGTCTGGTTCAAGTGCATCTGATTGGTGGAATTTAAGTCGTCATTTACACTCTGTCAGCATGCTGGCGCAACATTCATGCTTTGCCGTGCCAGCATGATTTACTTAAATCTATCAGCAAGCAAGACTGGGAAATGTACGTAGGTTTTTTGGCTTTGTTTTGTAGGAAGGCAGAATTCACGAAGTGGAACATTGTTAAGATAGAAATTTGGGTATCTGCTGTCCACCCCAGGGTGCTTATAGCAATCTAGGAATATCCAGAGGGCAAAGTATTATTGCACTTGTAAGTGCTTCCTACTGAAATGTCATCTAAAAATGTAAGAAATCAAAGTCTTATCTTACTGTGATAATACCTTTGTGAAAGAGTCCCTCTAAAAGTCCCTCAAATTAGCTTTTAATTTGGCTTTTAGCTTCTGTGAGGTAATTCTGAATACATTTTCATTGCTGTTTACGTTTATATTTATAGAAACAACTCCAAAATTTAGAAGATGCTTGTGACGACATCATGCTTGCAGATGACGACTGTTTAATGATACCTTACCAGATTGGGGATGTTTTCATTAGCCATTCTCAAGAAGAAACACAAGAAATGTTAGAAGAAGCAAAGGTATGTTGAAGTCTAATTCTTAAATTAGGATTTATACCATCATAAAGAACATGTGATTGTAGATGTAGGGTTCCTCAAACTTTTTAAATGGGACCAGTTCACTGTCCCTCAGATTGTTGGAGGGCCATTGGAGAGTGCGGTGCACATTCCACACTTTCGCACTGTGGGCCCGGGACGAGTCGGCTGCTAAGCAGGACAGACAGCGGTGGCAGAAACACCCGGTGGGCTGGATAAATGTCCTCAGTGGGCCACATGTGGCCCGTGGGCCGTAGTTTAAGGACCCCTGGTCTAGATGGAAAAAAAGATTAAACAAGTCATACTATTAATGAATGAGTAGAAGGTGATCTGGGGACAGGGGCAGCTTTTAGAACATACAGCAGGGGAATCCATACTAGTCTAGTTGTCAGGAGTCAGGGACAGGTTCCCTGGGAAGATAATGAGACAACAACTGAAGAATAAGTTAGTATTAGCCAGAAAGGGGGTGCAGGTGTTCTAGTCAGAAGCAGCAGCATGTGTGAACGGTCATAGAACCATCGTGGTACAAAAATAAGACCGAAAGTTTTATTTGCTGGAGATTTGGGAGCATCTGAAATTGTGGCAAGATCTTGGAGATCTCTGTCTACTGAGTTGAATAAATTGTGCTTAGCAGGGGTTGGAAAACTTTCTGTGAAGGGCCAGAAGATAAAAATACATTAGGCTCTGTGGGCCACATGGTCTCTGCCACAGTTACCGTGAAAGCAAGATGTGTAAATGAATTTGCATGACTCGGTTCCGCTAAAACAAGCTTCAGGGTGGATTTGACTGTGGGCTATGTAGTTTACTCACCCCTGTCCTAGAGCAAAGAAGACCCTTTCAGGGTTTTTAAGAAAAGAGTGATGTGATTGGACTTGTGATTTTAAAGTAATTTTCCAGTGTCTTATTTTACTTATTAATTAGATTTTCTAGGTGTAGAAATTTATTTCCTTTTGATAACTGTACATTTCATATCTATTTCCTGTCTTGTAACAATGAGTCTCAAACTTTGGCCATGTATCAGAATCAGAATCACCACAGGGCTTGTTAAAAATTCAGATTGTTGGGCCCAACCCAAAGAAGTTCTGATTCCGGAGGCCTGGCATAGTGCCCCCGGATCATATTTCTAACAAGTTCCCAGGTGATTTCGCCCCTGATACAAGTCTGTGAGCCACACTTTGAGAGCCGTTGGCCAGATTTCTAAAAGAATAATGTGCTAATACTGGGTATTTTTTTGTTCATAATGTTGATGGGTATGTCATTTCTATGACTTTATATTTTCTTTGTCAAAGAATATATATTAAAATTGATTTAATCTATTAATAAGGGAAGCATTATGCTAAAACTGGTTGCAGAACTGGAGAGACTAAGTATAGATAGGTATATAGAAATGTCCTGCCGGGCGCGGTGGCTCACGCCTGTAATCCTAGCACTCTGGGAGCCGAGGCGGCGGATTGCTCGAGGTCAGGAGTTCGAAACCAGCCTGAGCAAGAGCGAGACCCTCCCTTACTAAATAGAAAGAAATTAATCGGCCAACTAATAATATAGAAAAAATTAGCCGGGCATGGTGGCGCATGCCTGTAGTCCCAGCTACTCGGGAGGCTGAGGCAGGAGGATTGCTTGAGCCCAGGAGATTGAGGTTGCTGTGAGCTAGGCTGACGCCACGGCACTCACTCTAGCCTGGCCAACAAGTGAGACTGTTCTCAAAAAAAAAAAGAAATGTCTTGGAATATATATTTTTAAAATATAAATTGACAATTTATAATTGTAAATTTTGGGGTAAAAAGATGTTATATTTATGAATGCAAATGTGGAATAATTAAATCAGATACTTATCTATCACCCTCAGATACTTGACTTCTGACATTTCATTAGGCAAAACCTATCTCTTATAATGAGGTTCTCATTACCGCTCTTTTCCAAAGTTTAACTCCAGAGACCTCAAAGTTAGTGAAAATATCTGCCAGATTTGGAACATAAGTTATTCTTAATTATTGGTCGTGTGAGTTTTTATCATTCCTCTAGTTCATAGCTTTTCATGGAAAGTAGGAAGAATTGTTAGAAAGCCAGGCGGGCCCCATGATAAACTGTTTATAGAAGTCTTTGTATTTGGTTCTTTCTTTATTAGGATATGGTAATTTAGAAATTAACTTTCTTTTAGCTGTTACATTTTTCAGATCAGCAGAAACTGAGAAAGCAAAGTTGATTTCTCCTGTGATAAGTAAATATGGACCATGAATTAAAAATGCCCATTCAGACTTTTGATTTAGATCTAATTATCAGTGTTATTTAGCTGCCTATCCAAGTTTAGAAAGTTATTGACCTAAAATCCTTCCCAGATATTAGATACAGATGCTGAGAAACCATCCAATTGAATAGAATTAATTTAAACTATTTTTTTTTCCAGAAAAATTTGCAAGAAGAAATTGACGCCTTAGAATCCAGAGTGGAATCAATTCAGCGGGTGTTGGCAGATTTGAAAGTTCAGTTATATGCAAAATTTGGGAGCAACATAAACCTTGAAGCTGATGAAAGTTAAACATTTTATAATACTTTTTTTAATTTGTTTAATAAACTTGAATATTGTTTAAATTGATAATTTTCCTTCTTCAAATGACATGGAAAGGAAAACTTTCTTTTTTAAAAATTTTCATTTATTTAATGGAAACTTGCCTATTTTCACATGTCTTGCTTATTTATTTTATATTTTTAAAAGAAAACAGTATTCATCTATGTATTTTGCATAATGATTATGTCAAGTCTAGGGCCTTTATGTCATGTTATTAAAATCAGTTAAGCAATCTTTTATGTTTCTATATTATCATTTAGAATATTGCAGTTTTCATATATAAGAATTCAACAGTTGTGTCATGTTTATGTCTGGTTTTAATTGCCATCTAACGATGGTGAACATACTGCAAAAAGGTGTGCAATCCTACATCTGTCTGCTTATTTCACAACGGAAACTTTGTCATAGACTTAAAAATAGATATGTATATATTTTACTTAAATATATGTTATAGACTATTTAAACATATATGTAACATCTTCTACATATAAGTAGCAGAGATTTGGGTAAAAGAGTGGGTAATGTTGAGACAGGTGGAGGCATGTTGAGCTTTGTACAAACATGGAACAGAACCACAGGAGAATGTTTTAGAAACCCAGAGAAGTATAGAAAGGAATGTTTAGTGTCTTTTAAAATTTTAAAGTTTTAGACTTTATTTTAGTGCTTTGTAACAAGTTGGGCTTTACAGTGATAATAATGTAGCAGTTAAGCAGCTGTGTTTTTAAAAATAAGACTTATTTCTTAAATAAAGAGTATGTTTACGCCTGTACTTCCTCCCCCAGTACATTTGGGGATTTGGAAGACCTGATTGTATTAACGTTCCAGCAGATGGCACCGCTGTGCCAAAATACCGGTGGGAGGCTCATAATACAAAATGAGGGTATTTTCAGGATTTAAATATATGTAATTTTAGAGAAAACATCATTTCTTAATTTTCAAGGCTAAACATCACATTTTTTAGTTAAATATGTAAAAACAATTCAAGTTTAAAGATAGATGAATATGTAATTTCTAAAATTCTTAATGACCTAAAGGCAGAATTTTAAATTGTTGCAAAATCTGCCCAAATAGTGATATTTGAATTCTAGAAAATGACTCTTGAGGATATTTTTGTGTGCATGTGTGTTGGGTTACTGTTCAGTTAGAGGAGTGGGACTAGGGAGGTAATTCTGTCAGGTTGCAGCAGGAAATAATTTGAAAAAACTGTAGCCGAAATTACAATGATGGAGGGTAGCAGTTAGGAGCCTTTGGTACCCTCAAAGGCCACGGGAGGGAGTAACTGTCCCTTTCACTGTGGAACTCCCCTCTCCCCCCAGGGAAATGATCCCTTCAATTGAAGAGGAACGCGGCCCGCCTGTGCCCTCCCTGTAGTGCTGGAGCCAGGGTGACAACACCTTGACCTCAGCTGGGTCCCTTCATTGGCCGAATGCAACCGGAGTCCAGAGGTGGTCCATAAAAGTCCTTTTGCAAGGCCAGAGGGGGGTGGAGGGGCCAGTGGAAGATCTAGCATAGGGGGCCGACTAAAGTTAACTATTTAGACATTTTAGCATTTTAGCAATGAAGGCTTATCTGACTTATGTGCAGAGAAACTGAATCATGTAGCTGGCCAGGACTTGAAATTTTATCCTGCATATTACCAAGTAAACCTAAGAATACAAAAAGCCAAATATCTAACATCAGTGGGAATGGGCAGATGTGCAGTGTTGCTAACTTCTTTTTCTTAATGCACCTGTGAAATTTGGGAACATCAGGAATATTTGATTCCCATTTTAAACTGATTTCTAAATGGCCTATAACCTATTAATAGTAAGTTCACTGGGTAGGGTGAAGACTAGTAAATGCATGCCCTGCATCTGAAAGGAAAGTAAGAAGTGTCAGTTGCAGTCAGTAGTTGCGCACAGAAGTTTTAATCTGGATATGTCAGATTAAAACTGGATATGTCAGATTTAAAACTTCTTGTTTTAAAGCAAGAATCCTGGTATTTATAAGCAATCACTGTTTTTAGAAAGCGATGTGCACCAAACAAAAGATATTCGTACAACAAATTGATTCCTAGGCTTTCAGTTTGCAGACTCAGGTGCTATGTCATACTGGCCTTTGGTAGAAAGTAGGTAGGAGATAATTTGCTTTGTACTGAAGTCTTAGGAGCAGCTACTCTGTGACGCTGACTTTAATTTTCAAATACCTCGCAAATCTGTCCATTTCTTTGCCTCTCCATAACCACCATGAGCCTTCTCCAAGCCTTGAGAGCTCCAATCAAAAGCATGACTAGGTAAGGGAGTGAGGGGAAGGAACCACCACTTGAGGTTTTGACAGCTGGAGGCCAGGGCATCTCTCAAAGGTTTTGAATAGAACGGTAATATACATAATTAGAGCAATATTTTAAAACAATTTAGCAATTGTTAGGTGGGTTTTACTACAAAAAGATGGAGACAGCAGTACCAGATGTTACGAACCTTCCCTGGTGCATGGAGTCAGCTGCCAGAAGAAAAGAGAGGCTAGGACTCAGCCCGGAGGGGAAACGTATAGGTCTTGGCAGGGATTGGAGAAACGAAGGTGAAGGGAGGAGGAGAAAGCCAAAGATAACTTGGTTTTGAGCACAGGCCAAATGCAGCCTGCAACAGGTTTTCTTTGGCTCTCATAGTTTAACAAAAAAATTGAATTTGTTGCCACAATAAAATCCGGAGATCTCACATAAAAATTCACAGTTTGGCAACATTGAAACCATATTTCCAAATGGCAGTCTGCAGAGGCTCACCCACTAGACAAAGCAGGCGGTTCCAGTGCACCCCAGTCCCCGCCCGGCCCACTACCCTCATTTGTATCACCTGCACGGTGCCCATGGCGTTTGGCTTTGTGACCCTGGGTGCTTGCTGGTGTTAACAGGGAAGTAAGAAGCCCTGGGTGGGTTTGCAGTTGGGGCAGGGAGCAGGCTGAGGAAGGGGAGGGGAGAAGCACAGGGGCTTGGCACTGAGCCCTTGGGAGCTGTCTGGGCATCAGCCACATGGGGACAAGTCATTGGCTGTTGGTGCCTAGAAGCTTGGACTGGGGAGAGATTTGGGAACCATTTGCATCCCAGAGAAGTGCTCCTTAACATTCAAGGTATGTAAAAATCACCTGGGGCTTTTGCAAAAATGCAAATTCTAGCTCAGTTTGGGCTGGGGCCTGAGGTCTGCATTTCTAAGAAGCTTCCAGATTATGGCGAGATTGCTGGTCCATAGCCTTGCATGGGACAGCTAAGGTAGCCTATTGTGAAGGAGAAGAGGACTTAGGAAAAGTGTCAGTGGGAGGAGAAGAAGTGGCAAAGGAGACAGAAGCTGCACTAGTAGTGGGAGAGCCACAGGCGTGCGGAGTCCTACTCCACAAGAAGAGAGGCTCGAAAGCCGGAGAGAGTGTGAACAATGTCAAATGTTCCAGTGGCCGGTGAGAGCTGAGATAATGGAGCTTTATCTGATGATCAGGAAGCACTTAATTTCCTTCAGAAAAGGGTTCACCCACCCACACCCCTGTACACACATGCCTCAGTCCCCCACACCTGGGCTCCCAATACCTGAGGACACCCATACACTTGAGTCCCGACCTGAGCTCCCTTATGCCTGAGCCTCCCATTTGCCTAAGCCACATACACCTGAGCCCTCCCCCCCACCTGAGCCCACATACGCCTGGGGTATCAGAGCAGTGGTGCTCAAGGGGCCTCATTGCGTGGTTGGAAAGCCTTGCATGTGGCACGCCATCAGGTGATAAGAGTGAGAAATACGGGGAAATATTCTCCATGTCACCTGGGACCAGCCACATGGACATCTCCTGGGGGCTTGTTAGACATGCCAAGCCTTTCATAGGATGAAACTGTGAAAGAAAAATCCCCCCACTGGGCAGTGATGTTGAGCCAGATAGTGGACATCGCCTTCAAATACTGTGTCACAGAAACTCTGGGGCAGGGCCTAGTGTTGTAGCAAACCTTCCAGGTGATTCTGACTCAGATCACTCAGTCATTGGGCAGGACTGGGGGTGGGGGGAGAGGGGAGGGAGACTGAACATCAGCTGAAGATTCTTTTTGCAGATTATGGTGCTGGAGAGGGTAGCGAGATGAGAGCGTTGAAGAGATTGACCCATCCAGCTCAGGGGTCAAGGGTAGCTAGAGGCTCCTAGTTGCTGGTAGTAAATGGATTATAAAAGATTAAGCAGTAGGTGATGTGAGATTTGGAGCCAGCAAGTGAAAAGTATTTTTACAAGAAAGTTAACAGGGGAAGGAAAGAGGTAGACTGTCACTTAATGCCATTGCAGTCTAAATGGAAGGGTGCCTTTGTTTCTTGTTTTTTTTAGAATTAGGGAATATATGAGAGTAGATGGGAAGGAGCCAGGAGAGACGGCGATGAAAAAGTTAAGGGACAAGCAGAGATAGTTGGAGCACAGCGGGGGAAGAGGGTGTTGTAGTACTTATACAAACAGGACCCGGAAGAACACAGAATTAGGTGAACATTTTGTAAAAGCTCTTCCTTGAGAAATGAGAGGAAAAAATTCAGAATAGTGATTAACTCTAGAGGAAGAAGATATGGTTGAAGAGACAAAAACAGGAGGTTTAAAAAACCTTTATGTTCTATTTCTTGAGCTGGGTCATGGGTTATTTATATTTAATATGCCTATTATGGATTATTTCATGTGAATGTAATCACTCACAATAACCAGTTTTTATAAAGTTATGGCACAAATACAAACTGGGAAACGTGCATACTGTGAGATTGCTACTGATGTTTAACTGTATGGCATTCTACTATTTTGGGGGGTCATTTGACATAAAATGGAGCGTTGTGACTATTTTTAAAGGTAGAAAATCAGCAACAATCAAAAATTTAAAAGTTGACTTAGAGATTTAGTATAGAAAATTGTTTGGAGAACAGTAATTAGCGCTTGTTTGTGTGTAGGTATTTCCTGGTAACTAGTTCTCCAGTTGGTCCTCGATTCCTGTTCAATTTCTAGCAATAATTTTAATGACTGTGACACCCAGAACTAGCATTGAGTGCTTATTTTATCTTTCTACTGTTCTGAATGCTTCTTACGTATTTCTTCCTTTCTCACAAGGGTCCTTTGAAGTAGATTCTATTATCATCCTTCATTATACAGAAGTAAAGAAAGGTCTAGAGAAGTTCAACAATTTGCCCCAAGTCTTACAGCTTACTTAGCAAATGGGCTAATTAACAAATGCACAAGTTATACTTTTGAACCTTATTTTGTTTGGTGGTTTTATTTGTGTTCTCTTACTTATCCAAAAGAATTTTGGGTAGCTTTTTATATATACACATAAACGTATATGTGTGCATATATAAAAACATAGATATAACACTAATAGAATAGGAAAAAGGATGAAGATGAGTAAAAAAGGGAAAGTAACTAAGTTAGTCACAGACTCCACACATCAGTTTAACTCTGAGCTTACGTGTAGCCAAGGCAAAGAAAGAAAA